GGACTAATTGGGGATGAAGGTAGTCCGGATAAGGAAAAATCCGGATAATCGAAACAAATACTTTAATTTGTCTTTTAATGATAATACAACACGTTTTCTTTTCGATGACATGTCGGTAATATTAAAAGTAAATAATGTATTTAAATCGTGATCAAATTTTCAAGAAACAAACTTCGTATTGAATTTGGACAACTACTGACCAGCGCTAACAGACTACCTATTGTTTTAAAGCCCTCTGGTGGCGCAAGAAGACTGATTTTATAAAATAAAAAGCAGGTGAAACTGCATTTTTATGAATAAAAATTTGACAAACTATTTATCGTTTTATGACAAGTAAAATTTTTTCATCACGTTCGCGGTTTTTAAGTAATGGATAAACCTTCAAAACGTGAGACCCTTCGGACTGTGAGGCATAGGCAGTGGCCCATGTTGCCCATGCCTTACGCCGCCCTTGGTCATAGAAATAATGTAATTTGAATATAAATTATTTATAAATATGTATGTCAAGTTATATTTTTATTACTATGTAAAATATATTTAAGGGTTTACGACTACTGTGCTGGGTGAGACGTTGTTGAAACAAAAGAAGTTATGCATTCCATCACGTACATAAACAGTGTCGTAATTCGCCAAGTGCAAATCAGTAAATTCGTAAAATTTTTGTTTATTTTGAACAATCCGGATAATCGAGGTTCTACTGTATAATAAAATTTTAACTTTCTAATTTTATTGAGATGAAAAAATATTTATTATTGATAAATTCAATCACAGCAGTTTAAAAGTAATTTGTTTCGCCTTTCTTCCCTCTACATCTTTTAAAACATAAGAAAAAAATAAAATAAAAAATATGAATTTTCTTTGTTAGGAATTATTTTTTGAAAGAAAATAATATTTTATGATTTTCTTGAATAAGGTAAATTTCTATTCTATAAATATGAAAGAATATTCTATATGAATAAAATCTTGACTTTATTCTAAATCTTACTTATAATAAATAAAATTATATTATAATTTTATTTTGCAAAATTGGATATTTATATATTATAAAGAAACAATAATTCTATCTCAGTTTATATTTTGAATTTAACAATGCTTTGAATTTAAAACAAGTTCATCATTTGACCATATTTAAAAACTTATATATTTATCTATGATAAAAGATAATTAATTTTCAATATTTCTTATAATTCTTCCAAATAAGTATCATAAATTATTAAAAGTAATAAATTTAATATATAAAAATAAGTTTGTTACTTACTTGTAAAATAATATGTAGAGAAAACAAATTTTGATAGGTATATTTGTTATCTTTGATATTATGTAATAAGATACACAATTCATGTAAATAGTAATCCACAACTAGCCTTATTTCTTCTTTGGTCCAGTCATCTTGAATGTGTAGGCAATTAGGAAATGTTGATAAAGAGGGCTGTGAAAATTTAAACAGAACAGAAATTATATACAAATTATTTATTAACAGTAAATAGGAAAAATGAATGAAACTTTTAAGAGTAATTATATATTAAAACAATAAATAATATAACACACAAAATAAATTCTGTTAAAGTAACAGTGAATGGGAACTATAAGAATTATTGAAATTTCCAGAGAAAAAGTTATTGATCATGAAAGAGCATTGCTTAATTCTTGAAAAACAAAAATAAATTTAAATGCTATTGGATGAAAAACATCACTGCATAGTGTTGTTAAGCCTAAATTTTTCTGAATGCCTGTTTTGCAAATACTCATTCATAATAGCAAAAACTTTTCTAATAATGAAGCATAGAGAAGTGTCATTTTTAATAATAGTATTGTTTTAACTGTTGCAAGGAAGATCATCTACCAAAAAAATTGTTCTTATAATTTAATTACAACTTGGACATGGAGACATGGAGTACAACAAAATAAGAGATTTCAATTACAAAGGCTTTAAAATAAAATATGAACGGAGAAGTTGAAATAATGAAAAGATAATTGATTTATACAGAAATTCAAAATAGTAATATATTAAAAACAAATTGAAGTGGTCTATTTTTGCACATGACTAATCATGTGCAAAAATAGAACACCTAAACAGAATTTAATCAAAAGAGACAGTCTGTCCAAAAATATTTTTTTTTTGAAAACCACCTTTATTCTTTTCATGTGTTCCAGAACACCTTCGACCTTTCTTTTGAGGCTACTAGGTCATCAGGTTAAAACATTCCTTAAAAACACACAAAAAATCCAATTAAAACAATAAAGTAAAAGGTTGGAACTGGTGGCCTTACAGACGTCTTGAATTTTCATCCTGTCCAGTTAGGAAATCTCAGGCCTTTATATCCACTTGGTAAGTGCGCTGTTAAATGTAGATTTTGGTCTTATCCCTCTGGTGGCGGATTATTTAAGATTTTCATTTGTAGAATTTTGCCGGATGATAATTTTAATTTAATCAAAAAAGACACAGTCTGTCCAAAAATATTTTTTTTTTTTGAAAACCGCCTTTATTCTTATATCATGTGTTCCAGAAATTCCCTAACTGAACAGGATGAAAATTCGAGACGACTGTAAGGCCACCAGTTCTAACCTTTTACTTTATTGCTTTAATTGGATTTTTTGTGTTTTTTTAAGGAATGTTTTAACCTTATGACCTAGTAGCCTCAAAAGAAAGGTCCGGTCGTCGAAGGTGTTCTGGAATACATGATAAGAATAAAGGTGGTTGTCAAAAAAATATTTTTGGACAGACTGTGTCTTTTTTGATTAAATTAAAATTATCATCTAGGCGAAATTCTTCAAACCTAAACAGGATGTTAAGGAACTAAGTCAATGACCAACGAGCAGGCCAGACAGATGGATAAGCAACATAAAAACTGATATGATCAGAAAAAGATATAAAACAGGTTCAAGTGAAAAAAAATGTGAATGCAGAAAAGAACCTATATGGTTTATCATGCTAAAGAATAATAATAATAGAAATCTAAGAACAAAAAGAGGGTTTTACCTCCCACACTTTGAAATTAATCTGCAGGTTAGATAGAGTTAAAACTAAATATACAAAAATCATATTATTCTGATATTTTTGGTCAACACTTTTCATTCATAAAATTTTTTTAACACCAATACAATGAACTGAAAACTAATCACTAGCCTCTCAGATAACAAAAAAATCCCAATAACTTGCAAAAATATAAATCAATATTTTTTTACCTTGGTTACCTTATAAATTCCTTTTGTTATCAAAATTGGCAGTAAATGCCGAGCTCGTTGATCTCTATTGTTTTTTGCATAAATTATAATTAGAGCTCTAAGTATTGAAGGCTTCAATTTCAAATATGAGTTCAATTTCCAATAATAATCATAGAGTGGCCATAATAAACCAAAATTCTGATTATGCAGCAAATTTTCAATGCAGTCATTATAAAAATCTTCTATACCTATTTTACTTGGTCGCAGCTGCGCGTAAACAGAAAAGAGCTCCGAAGAATCTTTCAATATCCATGAGAATATCCAGTGAAAGGATAAGCTAGGGACCGATCAGATGAATCCCAAAGGTAATTCAGTTTGTTGAATTCTGTCGACGTACTACTGAAGTAATTTGTATTCTCAGAACTATATTATGCTCAAGTATATTCCGCATACCAACCATATGTTTAATTTGAATCGAGGAATATTCCTAAACAGAAAGCCATGCCACGTCTTAAAAGCGAGAAAAATTCGCTTCTTAATGAAAAAAATCCATATAAAATTACAAGAAAATTCAACAAAATTCTAGACAATAACAAATTATTAAACACGCAAAGTGCACTTTTATACATTCACAGATTGCATTAAATAACAAATATAATTGAAAATAAATCCTAATCCTTAAATTTATTTTTTAAACTATTAATTTGTCGGTTTAACTCATATTTATTTTAAATTATTATTATTTTTTCTAAGAATAATCTAACCTTGATTTCAATGACAGTTAAGATGCAAGTTTCAAAACTCTAGAGTGAAGATAAATTTAAGTAAATTATTAATTATTGTTAGATTATAAGTTATAAATTTTATTTTTAAGCTACAAAAAAAAAAAAGAAAAAATCTTAAGCTTATTATTAATTTTAAAACAAAGAAAAGATTTTTTGGGTGAAGGTCATGATTAAATTATCCATAATGGTAAATTATAGATATAAATTTACGTTTAGCAACAGAAAATAAGTGAAATTTATAAAGATTCATTTAAAATTTTTAAAAAATTTATACAAAAAGAATGATTAAATCATATATTTCTTATCAGTATTTTACATTATTTACTCTTTAATGAATCACAGATAATATAATTTCTCAGAATTGAACTTAGACCCGAGAAACTTAATTAATTTTTTTTTTGAAGATAAAAGTTAAATATTTACTCGAAAATAAAATTCCAGAACAAAAAAAGCATGCAAAATAGATGTTTAAAAGGTGGCCAGGGACAAGGAAAAAATGTTTATAAATTAAATTCATCGCTATTTATAATTGCAAATGTAACAGTAAATCTACATTCCACAGTAGCGTGTGAAAACATTAACGAAAGGTGGAAGCAATAAATAATATTATAATGCCCATAAACTCAATGTATATTAAATATATCAATTTTATAAGTCTCACTCGATAAGTATAAATCTTATCAAAACGATAAGAAAAAATAGGCCAGATCGAATAGGTCAAGTGGAAACTTTTCTAGGGAATTTAAAATTTTAAACTTTATCTAAATAGGTCTTTTTATGTCTATACATTAACCCCCTTCTGTAATTTTATTTTTCGTGAAGAATATATTAATTCGACGATATAAACATAATAAATTTAACTTTAAATAGTTCTAAATAAATAATTGAAAAAAAAAGTAAGAATAATTAGGTCTAGTTTTAGATCAAAATCAATTCCAAGAATCTTCTTAAACTATTGAAATTATTTTCTACGAAATTGTATATTTTGTTGCTAGCGACTCCATTAGCATTCCATTATTTCCACACCTACACCCAGCGAGTCACGCATCACGCGTCCNTAAATTTCAATTTTTTTAAATTTATAAACAAACTGTTCAAACTTTTCTAGAAAAACTAAAATCTAAGATTTGTTTTAGTTTTTCACATTATTTAGTTTTGTTTTATATTTTTTGTGTGCTCTATTTCTTGTGGAAGAGAGAAGGGACCCGGTAAGAAGAAAATGTCTAGGACTCCAAAGTGAGTTAATCTGATCTTGAATAACAACATTAATTTTTGAATTAAATAATTCAGACTATCCTGGATGAAAAGATTGGTCCAGAGTGGGTCCCAAACCCAAAACTTCTGCTTACCATGCAGACACAAACAGTATTTGGATGAATTTTTAAAATTTAATTATGGACTGCATGCTATTTAATTATAATCGATTGCCTAATTTTTATTTCATCCCCTTCCAATATAAGTAAATGTCTATTATATTATAGAACCAGAAAGAAAAAATTTAAAGCAAAGTTTTAATAAAACTGACAAGGACTCTTGCACAACTATCCTGACACTCAAACAGGAGGTATGAGCAACTTTTGATAATACTGAAGGTTCAAGTACCCAACAGCAACAGAATGCAATGTTTTACTACTGCTGTAACAATACATTGTAATACTAAAGATTGTGAAATAGTAAAAGATTCAATAAAAGAAATAAAATACAAAACTAATACTAAAAAAAGGAAATACTATGAACATTTAGAAATATTAAAAGTTGAAACAGAAAAATAATCAATGACACAGGGATGCACAACCTTTTGTGAAGAAGGGCCAAATTAGGATTAAGTTTACTGACTAGGGGCCGGACCCCCAAGCGATTAATGCAATGGCTGAGATTGGATGCTGGCGGCAATCTTCTTTATGTCTGGTGTAATGGCAGATGTTGAAACAACCAATAGATTTTTCAAATTCTCGTTGGTTAACCTGTTCCGTGTTTTGCACTTGTTTAAATTCATAAGCGAAAACTTGCAAGCTTGTTTGGCAGTACCTATGTATGCTTGTTCGCATACATAGGTACTGCCAAACATGCTTGCACAAAATCGAGCATTGTCTTTCAGTTTTGGAAATGATGTATCTGGCAGTTCTTTGTAGAATGTGAGGAGATTAGAATTTTTGAACTGTGATTTCAATTCATCACTGCACTGGATGTCTATCAACTCAAGTTGGACATCTGGAGGGGCATCTTCCACTTTCACATCAAATGGAGTTGAAAAAAGTTGCAGGTAGATCTTGTATTTCTGGAATTCACCAAACCTCTCATTGAATGATGTAAGGAGGGTGTTAACTTGGTCAGAGTAATCCATCTTCATATGTGGGTATTTCTCTTTCATGGCCTTGCAATGTGGAAAGTGTGTAAAGTTCTCTGATTGCATGTGGGACTTGAAAAGTGATAGTTTGGTCATAAATGCATTGATGTTACTTGTCAACTGAGAAACAAGTTGCATCTTTCCCTGCAATCTCAAATTAAGGTCGTTTAGATAAGCAGTAATGTCAGCAAGGAAAGCTAAATCACACTGCCATCTTTGTCCCTCCAAATTCCTTGTAGTGTTCCCCCGTTCTTTGAGGAAAGTGATAATAGGCCCCAATAGCTCCACAAATCTCTTGAGGACTGTTGCCTTGCTCAGCCAACGAACTTCAGTATACGTGGGCAGGTCAGCATAATCAGCATCTATTTCTTCAAGAAATGATGTGAAGAGTCGATGGTTGAGTCCATGACGGCGGATTAAGTTCACAGTATCATAGACATCTTTCAGCAGACGTTCAAATCCCAGCTTCTTTGCACAAAGTTGCTGTTGGTGAATTATGCAATGATACTGGACTAACTCCTTTTGCCTGTCCCCAAGGTGGTTTTTCAGCAAGGTGACCATGCCATTCTCACATCCAACCATAGATGGTGCTCCATCAGTGGCAATGCTGGATAGCTTGTCAAAGTCCAGTGCTGATTTGTTGCAAACGCTCAATAAACCAGTAAGTAAGTCAGCACCAGTTGTATGTCCGGAAAGTGATGCCATGCCAAGAAATTCTTCATTCACAATAAAATCTAGTGAAACACTTCTAATAAACACAATCACTTGTGCTGTTGATGATATGTCAGTGGATTCGTCCACAGCCAAAGAAAAATAAGCACAGTTTGCAACTAAAATATTAAGTTGGCCAGAAATGTCTGATGCAATTTGCGAGATTCTCCGTTGTATCGTCATGCGGTTAAGACTGATTGTTTGAAAACACTTTGTCTTCTCAGGACACATCTTCTCACTTGCGATGATAAGACACTTTTTTATCATATCGCCATCTGTGAAAGGTTTCCCATTCTTGGCTATTAAAGCAGATATTTCTAGGCTGGCTTCAACAGCCGCATCCAATTCTCCAGATTGTTTCTTGAACACATTTTGTTGGCTGATTAGTGATCGTCGTAACGATTCGATTTTCCGTTTGCGTTCCGTACCTTGCAGAAGGAAATCCTTGTGTTGGCTTTCATGATGTCGCTTCAGGTTGAATTCTTTTGGCACTGCTATTGTTCCATTGCACAAAAGGCAAATAATGCTGTTGTTCTGTTGCACAAAACAGTACTTGTTAGTCCACACTTCCACTTCTTGAAACTGATGATTCTCGCGATTGACCTTGCGTTTAATGCCCGGCGCCATACTGTTCACTCTGCAAAACAATGTCTCATTGTGCCGAAAATTCTGAGGCCCGCAACAAATCATGTTTGAGATAAGGCAAGCTAGACTACCACGTGCTTTGTTCTGTATCCACTCTGACCAAAGACTAAAGAGGCGGGGACAGAAGACTATTACGCACACGTGGCCAGGCAGGTCTTAATTCGTTCGACCCCTGTCCGGGCGTCTCCACCATTTCTCAGAATTTGTGAGTCAGATCGTCAACATGCCAGGTGCAGGACACTAATCCATCATAAATGTGGTTACCATTCTTACCTAAATTATATTTATGGCCCGTCAGTTTTACCCCCGTGTTCAGAAATGAATCAAAAGTGATTAACACAGTGCAGTGGAAAATCTGAATATTTTAAATATAATTATTAAAATTGCGATATCTCGTTTCAAATTGGCGCTAGAATCAATCTGTTTTTTTTTTTTTTTCTGTCCTAAATATATCACAGTTTACGACTGTTAAATTTCAAATAAAATAAAAATTAAAAATAATAATTTAATTTTAAATTTACGAAAAAAAGAATGTAAAAATAAAAGTAAATAAAAAGTTCCAATTAATTTACTACTTAAATAACCTAAATATATCTGTTTTCTTTCAAACAAAAAAAACCGCAGCTTTCTAGCTACACGGAATCATTTTACAACCCTCTTTGTTGACAAGTTTATGGCTTGACGCGGTTTGTAATAATTATTAAATCCAAAATATTTTAATGCAAATGGCTTCCTTTTAGTCGTAATGACTCTATTCCAACTACAGTATTAATTTTCTTGGTCCAACTTAATAATAATAAATTTGATGTGAAAAATTTTTTTTCTATTCTTTGTCTATGGAGAGATATTGTTGTAAATTATTGGTTTTATAGCTTTTTGTACATTCCTTTTTGAACTCTGGTTAGTTTTTTTCTAGTTTGAATGACATTAGGTTGACGAATAAGCGTCTTTTCAGAAAAGATTGATTCAAATTCGACTATACCAATCAGAATCTAGAATGTAAACAAATGCTAAAAAATCGTTATTTTCATGGTTTTTCAGCGCTATTTTCACTTATTTTTGTTATTTGACGCTATTTAGACGAATAGGCAAGTTTTCCGAAGCATAAAATTGAAGATTTCCCGCCAAAATAGAAACTTCCCGATAACATCGGAAATGACGTTCTAACATCATTTTAAAATATTCGATATCTAAAGCAGAAAGTGTTAGCTAAAAATAGACTTATTTATAGAACAATCCCCCATTTCTCACCTCAGGGAAAGTCATAAAACAGTTGGGTGCTAATGACTTTGTGAAAGGGAAAAAGTTCTACACTTAGAAACTTCGAAAGAAGGGATTTGGCCTGTACCGTCCGCGGGCCGCATAAACATTGATAAGGGGCCGTATGTGTCCCGCGGGCCGCAGGTTGTGCACCCGAATGACAGGAACAAATCTAGGAACAAAATTAGATGCAGGTTGGTACAATTTCATTGACAAAAATAAATTAAAAACTGATAACATAATTAATGACTTAACAATGAGTGACACGTGAGGGGGCAGAAATATACAAATTAGTGATTGTAGCTGATACTATATTAGCATGTATCAGTGTCTGTTGAATCAGCTAGTTCAAATAAAGTACCTTTGTAAGTACATATCCATCACTTTACATTTATAACATTAATTATAGAAATAGTAATTATTTGTAAATTATATTTAGTGTTCTCAGTGGCTAAGAAAAGAACAGTAGAGAAAGTGATGTTCTTGAAAATATTGCAATTGCATGATAATTGTGAACATGTCATTTTTAATTCAGGCTCTTTAATTAATGAATAATTTTGTATAAATTTATGTTTGTAATTTGTATAATTTTAAGAACACTAACTGAAGAGGGACATATTGAGTCTGAAATGCATTTTAAGTGTTCAGAATAATATTGTCATAGAGATGTTGTATAATTCAGTATAATATTGTCATACCTTATTGTAAAAAATAATCATTGAATATTTTGTAATCTAACCCTGTTCACCAGTGTGATAAGCCCTCATGTATATATATATATATATATACATATATATATATACGATGGTCGTCCCAGAAGTACCCGACCTGACATAGATGGCGGTACTTGTTTGAAAAAAAAAAAACGACTGTGTTCGAAAGTATCAACCTTATAAAGCTTAAGTTTGAAGTTTGAACATGTTACGTTGTATAGTATTTTTGGCAGCCATAAATAGTGAACAATCTCAGTGAATTTGTAAATATGGAAAAAATTTGTCATCGTTATGTGATACGATACTTTCATTTGAAAGGTTTCAGTCCAACCAATATTAAAGCTGAGCTAGATTCTACTCTGGGGGAGTCTGCTCCCTTGTTTACAACAATAAAATATTGGGTGGCAGAGTTTAAACAAGGCCGTATGAGCTGCCAAGATGAACATCATAGTGGTCGACCAAGTGAGCTGACCATGCCAGAAATGGTGGAAAAAAAATCCACAAAATGGTATTGGATGGCAGTCAACTCAAAGTGTGAGAGCTAGCAGACATGGTAGGCATTTTAAAAAGTGCTGTACATCGCATTTTAACTGAAAATTTGGACATGAGAAAGCTGTGTGCAAGATGGGTAATGCATTTGCTCACAATGGGTCAAAAACAGCGTCATGAGGATGTTTCAATCACGTCTTTGGCAATGTTTCGCAGCAACAAAGCTGAGTTTTTGCGTTGATTCATAACTGTGGGGGGCGAGGGGGGAGAAATTAAAAAATCTCGATCGACGATAATATTTGATATGTATCGTCATCGTCTCCCTTGCCGTTTGGACTGCCGAGCGGTAACAATCAACGACATGTGGAAGCAGTTGAGTCAGAGATAGATGCTTCGTTTACAAACAACACAACCGTTTATTAAACACGAAAGAAGCTTACAAGATTACTGCGATCTTGGAAGTTCTGCGTCGGCTGCGGCCTCTGGGTCTTCCTCTCCTTTCCAAGATAGTCCCATTTTGAAGGAGTGTCCCTTGTTCGCGAATGAACCATTCCATCACGTCTCGACGACTCCGGGACGATGCGGTCGACTTCCGTTGATGGAAAGATGTCGATCCGAGGTCGGGAGATGGAGACGAAGATGGGTGCGAGACACACACACAACAACAGATCCGTCACTTGGAACTTTCGGGAGAAGAAGCCGTCGCGTCCTCGAATTTCCGGGGTTTTATCTGTTTTCTCTCAGATTCCCCTTTCCGATTGGTCTCCCGTCGTCACCTGATGACAATTCGAAACCTTTCGGGGGCGCGGGAGAGGTCAAAATCGAAGTTTAATTCGATCTCCAACCGGAAATGGTCGACGGACTTACATTCTTCTATTGTTTAAAAGTTAGCGTCGCGTTTTCATAAAATAAAAATCTATTTCTAACTACTATATATTTTTTCTCTAAAACAATTATTTTAACGCGAATTTTAGTGAGGGTTCGGACCTGTCCAGAGCCTCACATAACCATGGACGAAACACGGGTCCATCACTTCACACCTGATATGAAAGAACAGTCGAAACAATGGACTGAAAGGGGAGAATCAGCTCCAAAGAAGGCAAAAACAGTTCCATCTGCAGGCAAGGTCATGGCGTCAGTTTTTTGGGATGCGCTCAGGAAAAACAATCAACAGTAAGTATTATGCAAACTTATTGCAATGCTTGAGTGATGAAATCAAGAAAAAACAGCCACATTTGGCGAAAAAGAAAGTGTTGTTTCATCAAGACAATGCACCAGTTCACACATCCGTTATTATGATGGCCAAAATCAATGAGTTAAGGTTCAAATTGCTTCCTCACGTACCCTATTCGCTAGATTTAGCCCCCTTGGACTATTTTCTCTTTCCAAACTTAAAAAAAATGGCTTGGTGATAAAAGGTTTGCCAACAATGAAGAGGTGAAGTCTGCGATTGATGGCTATTTTTGAGAAGCTCGACAGTTCTCACTATAAACAGGAGATCGAAGCTATTGTACATTGCTGGAAAAAGTGTATTGAGCTAAAAGGAGACTATGTTGAAAAATAAAGATATGTTTTACCAATTTTTTTGTGTCTTCTTTGTTAGGTCGGGTACTTCTGGGACTACCCTTGTATATACATACACGTGTCTAATTGATATAAACTTGAAATAATTAAACAATATTAAAATAATATACATGCATTTACAATATGTATCTATTTGCTCATTGATCCCTAAGGAGTCAGTATAGACTTGATTTGAGCCATCCATTTATTTGAAGCAGAAGCTAAAGCAATGTCTCAGAACAATTCTTCAATTATGTATGGAAACTTCTACAGCAAAGTTAATTTTATATGACTAATAAAAATAATCAGCTGCTTTGACTGACTGGTTGTTCCACAAGAGATTGAATTAATAAATTTTAATTAACTTACCATTGTCTATTGACCTCAAAATTCTGTTTAAGATGTTTACACTTGTATTAAGGTTCTTGCTCAACCACAGTTTTCCAAGACGTGTTAAAATATTTAATCTCAGAATAATTTCTTTCCTTCTAATTTCTGGTAATAATTCTGGAGAAGGCATAGCCCAATCACAAGCTTTAAAAAGAAAGTAAAATATAAAAATAATATAAATTATTTTTCAAAGATGTCTGTATTTATAAAAAAAGTTTCAGCAATTTCAGTTTTCCATGTGTTTTCATTTTTTTTTCCAAAATGAAATAATGTTCAGTAGTTTGAATGAAACATTTATTAACAAGAATATAATTTTCTGATTTATTTATGATTTCATAAGAAAAAAATGAAAATTTGTAGATAAACCTTTGGTTTATTAAGACTATTATTTATATAAAATTAATATAAAAAGTGAATAAAAAAATTTAAAGCAAATAAGTAAATTATAATTAGCCTTCAAATATTAAAAATGATCAAATAAAAATACTTTATAAATATATCATGAGATAAAAAATATGCTTACTTAACTGACAATATACATATTATATTTTTAAAATACAGATTTTGGTTGTTAACTGTAGAATGTTCCTCCTTCAAGACAAGACAAAAATAATAATTTAAAATTATGAAATATTTTAATTTATATTACAAAATATAATTTTTCACAAACTGAACTGGATCAATTGGACTAGAGTTTTACAACATAAGGGTATCTACAGCCAAGCTGCATCAGATTCATAAATAAATAAAAATGTAGTAAAACTCTAAACCAACCATCAAAAACAGTTATCTGGAGGAATGGTTGACTAAATAGTAATGTTCTTTAACTCTCTTCTAATGAATGTTAAGTAGTCACTATTCAGTTGCTAAAAGCAAGAAGCCACAAACATCATTGGCACAATCGGTGATAGATAAGGAAACTGTTTCAATTGTTGTGAAATAAATCAAAAAATAGTTTATGAATTAAATCACTGTTATTCAATTAGAATATTAGAACAATACATATCCTTATCCTACATGGGTCAATGGATAAATTTGGTAAATTTTAATGAGATGGTGCTGCAATTCATTTGGTGAAGTCACAGCTTGCAACTGTCATTTTTCAAATAAGGTCAGGCCAAATTTCAGCCAGAAGCAATGCATTTTTCATATTTTACAGACATCTGAAGCAAGCATTGTAGCAGTTTCCACAAAAATGAAAAAATGAGTTCTCTGCAGTGATAAAATATTTTTATTTAAAGTAGATGGCCACCTAGATCAAATGGAGCTGGATGAAATTCATTGGAACTCTTCACCAGCATTAAATACTGTTTATTTCTAAAAAAAATGAGTTTAAATGTGGCCAAACATGCACTGAAGATGAAGTGCATACTGAAAATCCACTTGAGACAACAATGATGGATATCATTGAAAAAGTCCATGATATTGTTATGAAAGATGACCGAGTAAAAGTGTGTGAGATTGACGAGACTATAGATATCTTAACTGAATGAGTGCACAATATCCAATATGAAAAATTGCAGATGAAAAAGCTATGCACAATGAGTGTCATGATTGTTGACCAAAAATGCAGATGAAAGGACATTTCAACTTAGTGTTTGGTGATGTTTAACCACAATCCACAGTACTTTTTACATCTATTGTGAAAGTAGATGAAATATGGATTCACCACTATACACCTCAGTTGAAGCAACAGTCAAAGCAGTGGATAGTGAGTGATGAAAGTGTGCTGAATAAGATGAAGACCGTTTTGTCAGCTGGAAAGGTGATGGCCACTGTTTTTGGGATTCTCAAGGAATCATCTTGGTAAACTACTTGGAGAAGGAAAAAATAGTAACAGCAGCATATGATGCAACATTGTTGCATCATTTGTAAGAAGAGCTGATACAAAAACAGTCAAAATTGGTGCACAAAAAAAGTGCTCTTTCACCAAGACAATGCACTGTCCACAAATCAACAGTTGTAATGCTTAGTGAGAAGAAATTCTCATTGAATAAGGATGTCATTGCTGCCATCAATGCATATTTTTCAGACCTTAACAAAAGCTATTTTTCTGATGGGATTGAAAAATTAAAAACTCATTGAACCAAATGTATAGCTCTTAATGCAGATTATGTTGAAAAATAAAATGGACCTTTTCCAAAAAACTGTGTTTAACTTGCTTTTTTTACCATACTTATTGAATGATCCTCATATCTAAACATTAAAGATAATTAATATGATGCAGCCCAATTGGACAGAACTTGAAAGTTACTTATAATTTAAGGAATTTTCTATTTTTTGCCAAGGAATAGTTAAAAGTTTTGATGGAAGTTAATGTTTAAATCTTATTCAGGTATTTTATATAATAGAGTAAAATTGAAATTAAAAATTAACAGTGTTTAAATTTTTGACTATTTAATAAATAAATAAGCAATTACCTATAACTAGCATTAATTCTCTTTATAAGAAAATTAATGCTGGTTAAATGTAATTGCTTATTTATTTATTTATTAAATTCTACACCAGTAATATCATAAAGATTATTTTTGACTGTTTTAAATAATTTCAAAAAAATTTAGTTATGAAAGAATGTATTCCAGTTTTCAATATGTAACTACTCTATTTTGAAGGGGCTAATGATGGCTTCAGAAAACTGAAAATGTTTCTGGCAAATGAAGTATTTTTAGTTGTTTTAACCAAGCAGTATAATAGGTTTTGATAATTTTGCTAATTTTGGTTGTCTTAGAGCAATCCTTTTTCTGAATATGGGCTACAAGGGAGTTCATAGATTTCTAGTGAGTTTTATACATTTTTTCTGATGGAATTGCAGGCTTTAACCTGCAAAGTAACAACATATTCCATAACTACCAGTACACTAGGTACTAAAATAATATATTCTAATGATATGCAAACTAGTAACATAGTTTATTTTTATCTTTTTACTAGTGAAATTTAGTTTGAATGCTCTTTGTCATAAAATCAACTTACTTAGATTTGCTTAATGGCATGAGGCAGAAGAACAAAAAATAAAACTATGTTGCCAAAGTCCCAAGGGTTAAATATAAGCACATCACATATTATAGGTTGCTCATGATTATCTTAGATGAAGCCTTGCCTTCATATGATTATAATAAATGCTTCATTTTAGGACAAGAATGACAACACTTCTCTTTGTTCTTTTTTTATATCATAGATTTTTCAACTACCTAATGTTAAAATCATTCATAATTTTATGCTGGATTACACCTTTTTCCATAATTCCCATTTTCTTTGTTTACATACATGTTTTATCACACAGTAACCATCTTTCTCATTTTCATTCTCTTTTCTTTATATGATTAGATTATATATATTGTATAATAGACAGCATTGTCATTAATGGTTAGTAGAAGTTTGATTTAGATGAGATGTGTTACCTAGAAGTTGGAGAGTCCTGTCAATTCTCTCACTAACTTTACAGAATGAATGACAGCCTGAGAGTGACTCATGATGATTAAGAAGCAACTTCCAAACAATTAACATTACTGTGAAGCTCTTTTTGTAGATGCTGTATACAGACAGAGTGAAGATCAAGTTCTTGTGAACATAACTAATGCTTTCCAAGTCTGATCCCAAAAAATGTTTGCACTAACATGTTTGGCAACTGTGGCATAAACCCCTATTAGGAACAGGAGATCATCAATGAAAGCAACCAATCTGACATAAATAAAGTGTTGTAACAAAGCAAGCCATTTTTCTTGATCACATTGCCCTCAAACCCATGACTGACCTCTGAAATGCAGTAATGTCTGCATCCCATCTTTGCCTTGATTTCATTTCAAGTTCTTTGGCATCCATGTTTGCAAACAAATTCTGATTTACAGAATACTGACATGTTGGATTAATGGACATTTCAAATGATGAGGTTCTGAATTAACAAACTTTTAATATACAGTGGTACCTCGGGATACAAAATTCATCCGTTCTGAAACTGAGATTGTATCATGAAAATGTTGTAAGGTGAATCATTTTTCCCCATATGATTACATGTAAAACCAAATAATTTGTTCCAACACAAAAAACACACTCAAATTAAAGCTAAGTAGTACATTAAAAAAATAACTATAGTAAGGAAAACACTGAAAAATACATTTTGTAGTTGTAAATGTATAAATAACCATAATAGAATAATAATTGATTAAAAAAATGTAGTTTTATTTGTACTTTACCTTTGAGGATAGATAATGGTGGAGGTGTAAACTGGTGGCGGAAGAGATGGAGAAGGGAAATGATACCAAAACTTAAGTTACATAACATAATGTAACAATAACTTAAAAATAACTTAGAAAAAGATAAAAAAAATTAGTGTTGTTTTATATATATTTTTAAAATTTTTATTCACTGCTTTTTGCTTTCTTTCCTTTACTTCCACCAGTATTTTCACTGGATAGGGGTCGCTTGGTAAAATATCTATCCAAAGAGGTTTGGCTTTGCCTACTTTTTAAAATGTTTCTAAAACGACTTAGGCAAATGTCATTACTCTGAGCAGCAATACGGCTAGTGTGAACCTTTTCGGGATGTTTCTTTTCAATAAAATCAGTCACTTTCTGATAATACCTCAAGATTTCNCTGCACCAGGTTATATCTTGCTTCTGCTACATATTAGCTAAATACAAGTGCACAAGAGTATAGATAATCAAAAATGAACTATTCAACGATATAGTTGCCATGCACCTTCAACCTCCCTTCTTGTTAGGGCCAAATCCTATCTCAGCTCCTTAGATAGATAGTAGTACATTTCAAATAACAATGTCATGTGGCATCTCAAAATTAGTACAAAGCATTTTTTCCAGTTGAAATATTCAGAAGAGGAACGAGCAGGACACTCAACAAATGGGTTAGAAAACTTAACACTTCTCTGCATGTTCTTGAGCACTGAATTCAATGCAGTCAATTATCGTTGCAACTTTTAATTTCTCACCTTTATGTTATTATTTGAAGATGTGTAGATGAAGGTGTTATGTTACAAAAACAAAGATTTGAGTAAATTTTGATGCTCAAATTTTTATTATATAATTATTTTAATGTAAATATATCCACAAAATACTGAGTTGCAGAAAGTATTATGGCATTGCTTAATTTCTGAGATCTTTGATGATGGTATGAGACCTTCATTCATGCTCTCTGTAATCTATAAATATGTTCCTTACTATATTAATATTTCAGATAAATATATTTAACATATTGATTATATTAATTAAACAATAATACAGTTTTGAAATCATATAACTTGAAATATCTTTTAAAACAGTTGTTATAATGTACCATCTAATATTTGCAAAGCCACTGATAACTTGTTAAGTTGTAAACACGAATTAATGGCTACAAGTGCAATCCAAGAAGGTGTTACTATACTCCATGGTGGGATGCAGGGATTTCGATTAATGTGTTGCAAATAATAATAATTAATGTCAAAATTATGGAGAGTTTCCACTATAGTATAAACTGTGTTATATGAACAACTTTTATGAGCTTCCAACATTAAACTACTGCCAATTGCTCCTAGCAGAAAAATCTGTTCTTTCTCCAGTTCCTGTCTGCCATTCACTAGAAACATTTTAAAAATGAAAATGATTAATTTAAAAATAATAAATTTTTGTTAATAATTTAAAACAATACACACTACTATAAAATTAATTGGGACAATGGTAAAAAAATGAACATATAATATATTGTTTGTCTGAAAATAATACTGTTTATCATACATAATAAAACTATACTGATCTTACTCATTGACATGTTTGAGTAAAAGCAGATTTCTTACAAAAAAATGAAACAGTGCATTTGAATGGAAACATCAAGTACATTAACAGAAATATCTAAAATCTCAAAAAATCAAATATTTTAGGTCCTACAAATATCAATTTCAATCTTGACACCTCAAAGAATGTCACAATGTCTTGTTAGTAAGTCAATTTAATATATAAAAATAAGCAGGTAGTGCTTAATTATAACTGATATTGTTTAAAAATTATTATGAATTGCAACACATATATGAAAGAATCACAAAGGAATTCAATGTATCAGGGTTAGACTGCTGAAGATAGCCAGGAACAGAGAATCAGATATACAGGGTGTAGACAAAAAACACTGCACCAGGTTATATCTTGCTTCTGCTACATATTAGCTAAATACAAGTGCACAAGAGTATAGATAATCAAAAATGAACTATTCAACGATATAGTTGCCATGCACCTTCAACCTCCCTTCTTGTTAGGGCCAAATCCTATCTCAGCTCCTTAGATAGATAGTAGTACATTTCAAATAACAATGTCATGTGGCATCTCAAAATTAGTACAAAGCATTTTTTCCAGTTGAAATATTCAGAAGAGGAACGAGCAGGACACTCAACAAATGGGTTAGAAAACTTAACACTTCTCTGCATGTTCTTGAGCACTGAATTCAATGCAGTCAATTATCGTTGCAACTTTTAATTTCTCACCTTTATGTTATTATTTGAAGATGTGTAGATGAAGGTGTTATGTTACAAAAACAAAGATTTGAGTAAATTTTGATGCTCAAATTTTTATTATATAATTATTTTAATGTAAATATATCCACAAAATACTGAGTTGCAGAAAGTATTATGGCATTGCTTAATTTCTGAGATCTTTGATGATGGTATGAGACCTTCATTCATGCTGGACAATCAGGTTTTGAATGACTGTAACATATCATCATCCACTCATGTCATTTGTTAAAAAATCTTTTTGTTTGAACACAATATAAATTAAGAAATAAGTTTCAACAAAATAAATTGTGTCTATAATTAAGGCCATGACACACTAGGCGATTTTTGTGGGGATATGTCACCGGGCGATAGAAAAACTGTTTCTCAAGCAGTCATCGAGGAGTCAAACTGCTTTAACCTTGGGAGACAAAAAGTCTTCCTGCTGCTCACTGCAGCCAATATGCTTGTGTAGATTTATCATGTGAATACAGTTCTTGTTTACAACACAAAAATAAAAATGGAGGATAGTCACTGGTTGATGGGAGACAATGTTTTGTTTAATTAATTCAATTATAAGAACCAATTTATGATACAGTATTCACCATTGAACTTAGACCAGGCTACAGTTAACATGCCATCCAACAGATAGATTTAAAAAAAAGTAGCTTTGATTCATTGCATGAATGTTTTACATAATTAAACAAATATACAGTAATTAATCTTTATTTTTGCTAAATATCAACTTGATATCTTGCAAGTTTAACATGGCATGTTAAACTTGCAAGTTGGATGGCATGTTAACCGCAGCCTGGTCTAAGTTCAGTGGTGACTATTATATAACCACACTATTCAAGAATATCACTATAAAGGTACTCAAAGACACATGCTTTCATGCAAATTTACAATTACCAGGTATAAATGTCGATTGTATGACTCCAGAAACTCTTGAATATTGGTGAATGTCAAAAAGTTTTTGTCACTCAGAGACATGTCTCCTGGGCGAGCCTAGTGTGTCACAGCCTTTATGAATAAGTATGGTCCATGCCATAATGATAAAATTTAAAACAATTTAATTGATTTTTGATTATAAAACTTATTAATGCTCATGATGACGCATTTCCACCAAATACTCATTAAGTTCTTTAAAATCCAACAATAAAAATATCAAAACTGATTAGAATTTGATCCCACAACCAAACAAATTATAAACAATATATCAAAATATTTATGTTGCAATGTTAATTTATATAGAATATTACTTCTATTAATGTATGTAATTTCTTATAAAACTGTCCCAATTAATTTGTATAATACTGTATATTCCTACAATATTTCTTTGTAATAGTTGTCATTATTTAAAACATTGATAACTCTACAGTCGACCCCCGTATAAGATCATTGATTATTCCGTTTTATATGAATTCCATGTTGTACGAGTCACTTAAATTTTACAAGTACGTGAGCCGTTCACAGCCCGGTACATGTATTTGTAAAATCTAAGTGACTCGTACAACATGGAATTCATATAAAACGGAATAATCAATGATCTTGGCATCATCTCTTATCAAAATTAACAATTTCTATATAATAATTATAGCATGAAATAGCCTGATTAATTATGGCAATTGTTTGGTTGAAAAAAATTATTTCACTACAAAATACAATAAATATTTATGACTATTACTTACTATAAAGAATTGTATAAAACAATTCCAAGTTATGTATATTTAAAAAACATTTATATTATTTGATCTAATAGTCAGGTAATACCAATGGCTTACAATCAGCCAGAGTCTTTATCATTTCACATTTTAATTAAAATAATAAAGATCCTACTGATCATAACACAACTCCTGGTATTTATGAAACACATTACCTTATACTTGCTAATAAAGTTTTGTACCCTATTAGTTATATATCCTATAATCTTCCCAAATAGCTTAACCTGTCCTGTGTTGTTCCCGAAAGTATTCATGTTGACCTCATTGACCTGGTGGGGGTCAATCCCGGAAATATTCAATTTTGCATTGGAACGTTTTTTAAACATCAGATGTTGCTACTTGTATAGAGTGAGTTTTGAAATAAGTGATTCATATCAGAAGAACCGTTATGTTATCTAGTTTTTGCTCAGCAGGTTATCGAAATTCTAGGAATAGTTCTTTGTTAGAAATCACAAAGAAAATTTGACCATTTCTCTGTTTTTCGACATGGCAGCAAGTAGTAGATATAGCACTCTAAATAAGTCAGAAGTTATCAAATATTTATTTAATTTAGGTTCTGATGAATCTGAATTTTCAGACAGCAATGATGATTACATTCTAGATCAAAATGTAAGTGATGATAGCAGTGATTTTGATCCTGAAATACCATCTATGAGTGGATATAGAAGCAGATCACATGGCAGTACTCAAAGTAATACTGCTAAATGTCCACGATTTAGTAGTGACAACGGATGGATTTGAACAAATTTCAGACCTCCTCAAGTAAACAGTTTTATGGGACCATCAGGAATACGATGTAATTTACAGAGTGATTCAAGTGTTTTAGTATATTCTTCAATGACAAACTTGTCGACAAGATTGTATCAGAAACGAACAGGTATGGTGATAGTTTGCTAAACTGTGACGATTTACGAGAGAATGGTCAGATAAAAAACTGGAAACCAACGACAAATCCAGAATTAGTGAATTTCTAGGACTTATAATGGTCACAAGTATAATTAGAAAACCGTGCCTAAGTATGTATTTTACAATTGAAGATCTTTTTTCAACACCATTTTTTTCAAGTGTGATGTCAAGCAACCGCTTTCAACTCTTATTGTCCTGTCTGCATTTTACAGACAATAATCAAGCTTCAGGTGGTGATGATTGACTGCATAAATTACACAGTGTTATCGATCATTTATGCCACAAGTTCAAAAATGCATACCTCCCAGAGGAAAATATCTGTGTAGACGAAAGTCTTATGCTATGGAAATGGAGATTAGGATTTAAGCAATATATACTGAACAAGCATGCTTGTTTTGGAGTGAAAAGCTTCGAAATTTGTGAGTCATAAACAGGATATGTTTGGGACTTTATAGTTTATACCAGAGCTACTACTGAATACGGAAATTTTGAAGGTGGGCAAGGAGAGAAGGTTGTGCTAACCTTATTAGAACTGTTGTTCAATAAAACTCACAAGGTTTTTTTAGATAAGTTTTTCACCTCACCAACCTTAGCGAAAATGCTTCTAGACAAACAAACCTATGTATATGGAATAATAAATAAAAATCGGATAGGAATGCCACATAATTTTCCTGGCAGTAAATTGAAGGAAGGGGAATTTATCACCTGTCAAAAAGATGAATTGTCTGTGTTCTGTTGGAAAGACAAAAGGGATGTGGCAATTCTAAGTACGATGAGTGACAACAAATTCTCTGATTCAGGTAAACGTGACAGATCTGGGGAAGTAATAATGAAGCCAAATTGTATTTTGGATTATAATCACAATATGGGTGGTATTGATCTCTGTGATGGAGTAATACACAATTATCCATGCATGAGAAAAATGGTGAAATGGTACAAGAAAGTGTTTTTTCATATGATGGATATTAATGCTTGTGTTTTATATCAAAAACATACGAAAAAACAAATATCATTTCTCAATATTCGTATGTCTGTTATCAGAGAAGTAATAGAGAAGTATCACACAAGCAGACATCTAGCCCACTGCAGTCAACAGTCACACGAAAATCTGTTATGTTTATCCGAACGGCATTTTTCCAGTTTTATACCATCTACAGAAAAAAAAAGCATCCATCCAGAATATGTAAAGTATGCTCGGCTAACAAAAAACATGCAGAATCATGTTATCAATGTGTACAATGTAATGTTTCACTATGTGTTGTTCCTTGTTTTGAGATATATCACACTAAAATTAACTTCTAAAATAAAATTTTTTTGTTTTTTATATTCCCTAATATGTCTATTTTGTATGTGAAAAATATAAAATAATTTGAAATAATACGATAGCCACAATTATTATTTTTCTAAAATGTGTGATTGCATTAGACTTAACCTCGAAAAAAATTCCATGTGGAGCAACATGTGACGGA